AAATCTAGAATATTTGCAAGATACGCTATGACACCCTTCTGAATCATTTTTTCAACTGCCAACGCTAAGATAACATAAGACAGATAACCCGATGCTCACTGATCAGAACAATTTCCTTATCATTAAAAGTCTTCAAAATTGCTCTCTCGTGTTCCTAAATCAGGTTAACTAGATGTTCCTTCAACCAATTGGTACCTAGAATAAAATCAAACTCATCCAATGAGAGTTCCATAATATTCGCTAGAAAAGTCTCTCTATAGAGCTTGAGAGGACAAATTCAATAAATTTTGTCAACCATAATGAATTGACCAACATAAGACTGAACAACAACATAACAAGTAATAGGCTCAACTGGAATATTAAGATTATGGGCTATGGAACTTGCAACATAAGAATGAGTAGACCTTCTATCAAGTAAAGGAAAATAATAAACTGGATGAAAGGTAAAAGTACCTACAATAACATCTGGCTCATCATGATCCTTGCAACATCTCGTAGCATAAACAAGAGTAGGTTATCTAGACTCGGTCTTCATAGAACCTTTAACCGGGGTAGAACACACCCTACCTAAAGAACCTGGTACATGACTAGATAAGGAAAGTCAGCTTTAATTACGACCACTCAAAGTCTGAGATGATACTTAAGAATGTGTAGGAGTCTGATAAGTTAGAGTAAGTTACGGTCAATCTCTTAGAAAGTGATCAGTGGAACCACCCTAAAACATGCTCATAACTTCTTGAAGCACTCCCCATCATACTGCCTACTATAGAAAGTACAAGTAAGAACAACCCGCTGTGTAGAAGAAACACCCATACTCCTAGACTGACCAGAAGAAGCAACATGTCTAAACCCATAATCAAAATCTCAAAGTATCATCTTTCAGTCGTTTCCCATGACAAGTAGAAGAACCAAAATGACCCTAAAAACATAATTGCTTCTTTTTTTTCCGTATGTACTGCTCTTTACTGAGATCTCCCATCTCCTCAGTAGTTTTAGGTCAGTCCACTAACAAAATCACTTTCATGATGGGTAACAATCCTATTACGGATCCCAACACACAAACCTTCCTCGAATAGTATGTATTTGTTTTCCTCGGTGGTGATAAGTCTAGTAGCATACTTATTGAGACGTAAAAAATGCAGCTCATAATCCTAAATTGTCATATCACCTTGTTTTATATCTATAAACTCTTGCTTTCGCTCTTTTAGATAGTGATTACCCATAAATTGACTCCAAAAAGCACTATGGAAAAACTCATAGGTCAACTGATCTCTCAGAGTAGTCATCTTCACTAAATTCACCAATTTAGGCATCCTTCAATAGTGAAATAACAACCTAAAGTCTCTGATCAATAGGATAATCTATCTCATCTAGAAGACGCTCATTATCCTTAATCTATACTCCTTAACAGAAGAGATGCTCGGGTAAGCCCTCTAAAATACTCTACCCTGTTACGTAACACCGTCGACGAGACAATAATGGCAATGTCCTCTAGTTGAACCCTAACAGATCTCTAAAGTAAACGCAATACTACTCGACCAATTGCAACATCCTTTAAATCTATAAATTAACCTCAAATGGCAAGTGTATACTAATTGGATAAGAATAATTAGATGCTCGAGTACGCCCATAAGACGAATCGACCTTAGGAAATGGAGGATATCTAATAGCAATAGTCGCCTGGCCTCCACAACATTAATCGCTATCATATTTACGGGGAGATATAGAATGACATGTACTCCTACGATGTGGTATATTATCTACTGAGTCTAAAATAAAAATGTATACATAAACTAAAGTCTGATCTGACACTAGAGTCTTAAAATAAAATATTCAAATTTGAAATCAAATAAGTTTTAAATCATTTAGCAAATATTTACAGTCAAAAGGGATTTTAGAAAATATTTCCCATACCCAAATTTTTTGATGCATAAAATAGTTGTTTTACAGAATAATATAAAATTTGACAGAAAACACAGTCCAAGAATTAAACATATGCTATGATACCACTAAATATAACCCCCTATATTTGGCCTGGACGTTACAACCGAATCTTAGAGACCACATTCATATTCAGATTTACAAAAACAATGAAACTTTCAGATTCAATGCATGCATCATCAGAAATACATTTTAAATTCAAGTTCAAAAGCATTAGTTCGTATAAAAAACAAATATACAAATTTTAACGTCAAAAACATATAAAACATGAAATCCAAAAAAAACATATATATATATATATATATTCAACAGAAAAGAAATAACATAAAGTCTAAAAAAAACTTCTATACGATGACTAAAAGGAAAATGGGCTACTGAACAATCTTCCAAGTACTGATCGTAATCCTATAGGTCAAAAGGATCTAAAAGGACAGAAACTAAAAGAGGAAGCTAAAAAGCTCAATGTGTCCTCTATAGTAAAACATATATCATTATATATAATATCACAAATAACACGTAAATAATAATATCATAATTTATTCATCTGTATGTAGCATCATTAACATGCAATTATACCTTTTTTCGCGGGTAAACAAGATGTGGACGTTCCCTCCGAAGAGGATCCCAGTCAAAAATAGAAATCGATATGATGACTGGACCCTCCAAAGAGGATCCCAAACAGAAACAGAACGGGGATATAATCCATACATAAATAGAACAAGGAATTAATCCCATACAGAGTTAGAATGGAAAATTAATCCCATGCAAAAATAGAATGGGGAATTAATCCCACGCAGATTCATGAATACATTAATGTTCAGATCATGAATGATGCAACACTATTCAAATCATAAATGTTATAGATAATTGTAATCAAATTTTGAACATGATTTAGGTAGTAATATTAAACATAAGAGCATGATATATAAAAAAATTGAACATGTGAAAGGGACATACCTATCATAGCTTAATAACACCAACTAATCCTTACACTTCCCACGGTCAGTTGCACTAGGTCCTGCGGAGTGGGATGTTGTCCAACGGTCGAAAAAGACCAAAAATTTCATAAAATTATTTTAAATGACGGGGAGTCACTTATAAGCGTCAGTTTCTCAAAAAGATTGGTACAATGACACCGAGAGTGAGCAACATGACTGCAAGAACGATGTCGAACCAATGCTAAAAGCAAATGAATGGTAGTTGAGAGAGAAAATATACTAGCGAGGGAAAAAAAGAAGGAAAAGGAAAGAGGAAAGAGGAAAGAGGAAAGAGGAAGAGGAAAGAGGAAAAAGTTCTTAAAAAAAAGGCAAATCAAACTACAAATCCTCACACTTTTAGAGAATTTAGGTACTAAGATTTCAAAACATTTTTATCTAACCTCGAAACTTGAAATGTGACATGAATAAATATCTATCTATATGATTCTAGCAGCGATTGTAAATATACATATGTATACTATAGTGATTTTAGTGACGAGATATTTATAGATGTTTAAGGTTATATATTTATATATATATAGATGAGATTAGAAAATATTATGATATTGATGATGAATAACTCATTATTGTTTTATTGGTTATAAATGTTGATAGTTCATGGATAGACCATTAATTACAAACTAAAAAAATCATGAGCCTTGTAATCTTGTAATAAATCATGCCATGTCTTGTATTGTGAATAATATATATCCTCACTGTTTATAGTTTATGAGATTCATCATGTGTTTATTTGATTACTGATATGTGAATCAGTATTCACATGTTTCTGTTCGCATCTTAAAAGACTTTAATAATTCGAGGAATATCATCATCATAAGATTTTAGCATATGTTTTCACGGTACAATATTCAATTATTATGATGAGTATATGTATCCACGAGTCACTCATTTCTGATATGTAAATCTTATTTATATTATAATTTGTTTATTAAACTTGTAAATAAAGCTCCATTTTGTAAATTTATTTTAAATGATTTGTAAATTAGATGGTTTGAATTATGATAATTATTTTAGATTTAAGGTTACATAAACAAATATTCATAATATTACCTTTTTAGATATCTATAAATATAATATATCTCGTTAAAATCTTATTAATATAAAAATTCTACGAAAAATATTAATGAATAAAAAGATAACCATATTTTTAATATGTGTAACATATTATATCATTAAAAAAAATCTTAATAAAAACACAGTAGAATAAAACCCAGTTAAGAGAAAAATATTATCCCTCTCTTAATAATATCATATAAGATTTTTAAATCTTAAAAATAAAATTTATTTAAAAAGTCCGAGACCAAATTGCAAAAAAAAATCTAAAGCCAATTTTTAACTAAAAATCAAGGTCAAGTGTCGAACTGTAAAGGGGAAAAAAAGAGAGAGAGAGTAAAATCAAATTATAAATTAAAGTCAAAGTCAAAGTAAAAAAGTAAAAAGTTAGATTAACCCAATAAATATGGATGGTTAGACGGTGAGTACTTGTTATTGTAAATCCAATTAACAATTAATTTATCATTTACCACGTCACGCTTACGCTCAACGACAGCCAACTGGCTGTTTCAAGTCCAGATACGTGGCACTGCTCGCACAATTGTCGTGCCACGTGTTCCCAAATAAAGCGAGTTGTCCTCACGATTCTCCTAGCGACTTACTTTCTCACTTAAAATCATGGTGTCATTTTGTTCTTTCTTCAAAACATTAGGGCTCATTTTGCAAATACAACAAAATAGAAATGTGGAATAAAACCTCAATTTTCCGGTTTTAGCAAATAGGGCCGCATAACTACCACACATCTCTGATATCAATTCAAAAATTCTAACCGTCCACCTTTCAGCACAGCCAATCGTGACCGTCCGTTAATCTCCTTGTTTTCCACGAAAATATCGACCCGTATTAATTAATCAGGTAGCTTTTTAGACAAATTCCGAACAGGATCTCTACCGCAAATTCTAAATCCGAGGGTTAATATGTTGCCACGTCGCTGAATAGAAAAGCCAAGTTTAGTATACATTTTACGAATTTTCCATTTTTTGGTTATTTCCGATCTAAGCCCCTACTCTCGTGAAACCGAAGGAAACCCTAGACTCGTCTAGTCTCGTCTCTTACGGTAAAAAATAAAAATAAAAGAAAACAAATTTTATCTTGAAAATAATTTTTTAAAAAATCGACAAATCTATTAGGGATTTAGGTTCAATTCGAAATCCCTAGATTCTAACCCTAGCATATACTCGTACTCTTGATATCCACGACTCGGCGGAGAAATTGATGTTCTTTGATGCACCGATCCCGGTAAGTCATGCATTTTATTTCGATTTTTTGCTAATTGTTTGATTTATTGAAGAAATATATGAATATATGGATTTTGAGATCGATCGGTTTATTCGTAAGAAATTCGAGGGATTTTTCATTTTTTCGTTTTTTTAAGGTGCAATTTTGGTTTTACAGATCTGAACCATGTGTGATGTGAATGTGTGGGAGATTCAGTTTCCCCTGTTTGGATTGAGAGATTGTTGATGGAAAGTAGAATAGGAAACTCTCATGGAGCGGAAATTCCTAAAAGATCAAGATCTTTGGATCTTAAGAGTTTGTATAAATCTGGTGATTCAAAGGAGTCATCTAAGAATAGGAGCTTGAAGAGGAAAGAAAGATCACAAGAAGGTGATGGTGAGAAGAGGAGTGATAATAACTCCAAGAGAAAGAAGAGTAGGAAATCTCTTCCTCTTAGTAGTTTTAGAACCGTCCATGATAGCAATAGTAGCAAGAGTTTGACTGAAGTGTATAGTGGTGGGTTCAGTTCGAGTTTGCATGATCCAGAAAGCTTGAAGAAGTTGGGTTTTAGTCAGAAATCAAAATATGGTAGCAGTGCTGATGATGTTTCAGTTAGTTTGGGTAACAATGAGAGGATCCCAAAGCGTAATCGGCGGTTTGAGGGGCAGGGCAAATTTGAGGATGCTCAAGTGTTGAAGTTGGCAGGGCGGTCTAATAGTAAAGAAGTTGTTAATGAGGAAGTGAAGTTAACCAGTGAAGATTCTGGCACTCAGAATGAGTCTTTGAAGTTTAAACAAGGGAAGATTATTGAAGATCTTAAGGAGAACCGGAACAGTGAGTCAAGTTTGATTCAGCATTTGAAGGAAGAAGATGGTATTGCTGGTTACTCAGCTGTAAATGGAGGTGACTCTTTGGTAAAAAAATCACGGAGGAAGCCTAGGAAGAGGAAGGACTCGATACAGGGTGATAAAAGTGTTTCTAACAAGGCTCAGAGTTCAGTAGAGGCTTGTGACGTCTTTCAAGAAGATGAAGAGAATCTTGAAGAAAATGCAGCAAGGATGTTATCTTCAAGGTTTAACCCAAGCTGTACTGGCTTTTCTTCAAACGGCAAAGTTTCCGCATCACCATCTGAGAATGGTTTATCTGTTCTCATATCTTTTGGTCAGAGTGCTAGTCCTGGGTCTAAGAATTTGTCTGGTTCCGAATCTGCTTCTGTCGATACTAGGATATTGAGACCACGGAAAAGTCATAAAGGGAAGGCCACCTCAAGGAGAAGGCGTCATTTTTATGAAATTTTCTCTGGAGACTTGGATGCACAATGGGTATTAAACCGAAGAATCAAGGTGTTCTGGCCTTTGGACAAGAATTGGTATTATGGCCTTGTCTACGGCTATGATAAAGAGAAAAAGCTTCATCATGTCAAATATGATGACCGTGATGAGGAATGGATTGATTTACAGAATGAGAGAATTAAACTCCTGCTTTTTCCTAGTGAACTTCCTTACAAGTATCAACGGAAAAGAACTCAGCGAGATCGAGGTTCTGATGATAGAATCAAGAATGTAAAGCTCAGAAAAGAGAAGGGTAAGAAAAAAATCATTACCGAAGACGACAGTGCTAATGGGAGCCATATGGTTCTGAGCCCATCATCTCTTGGTTGGCTCGTTCCAGTCATCGTGTCAAATCATGCCCTTTGCATTCTGTGAAGAGACAGAAATAGCTGCTTCATCTCTTAGTTTCCTGGTCAACAATTGTCATGTGATGAAGCTGTAGATGAAAATGGTTGTCATTGTGAAGGTTCATTGAAGGGAAGTAAAGTTAAATTGTTCAATGCCACTGCATTGTCTGACAGACCGGTTGATAGCAGAAGGGTTGAGGATTCTTCCTTGGATAGCACTAGTTACCCCAATCGAAAACATCCTATAGTATATTTTAGAAGGCGTTTTCGCAAGACAGATAAAGTATCATGTCAGGCTTCTAGGAGCAATTGTATTGGCAGTAATGTGTCTGAATTTATCACCTCCCTCGGTTGTGTTGATGAATTTCAGGATTTGGGTGTACTTGGTGCTTGCATGGGCCGGTTGGATCCTGAACTAGAATTGTTGTTTAGTGATAATGCAGGGCAGTTACGATTGAATATTTCATTGATTCATTCAAAACAATTCAGGTTTGGGTTGAGCTTCCCTGTGCTCTCTGTCTCAAATAACTTGTTTGGTACAAATAACCTCTGGCTGGTTCGTACTTTGTTGTTGCTGCAGTGTGGTATGGTAATGTCTGTCTGGCCAATGGTTCATATGGAGATCCTTTTTGTGGATAATGAAGTTGGACTGAGGTTTTTCCTGTTTGAAGGTTCCTTGATACAGGCTATAGCTTTTGTTTTCCAGGTCCTGATGGTATTTTATCGACCTACTGAGCAGGGGAAGTGCCCTGATCTGCTATTGCCTATAACTTCAATCAGGTTCAAATTTTCTTGCTTTCAAGATCTTAGGAGGCAGGTTGTCTTTGCGTTTTACAACTTCCACGAAGTGAGGCATTCAAAATGGATGTTACTGGACTCTAAACTGAAAAGACATTGTCTGCTTAATAGGCAATTACCTCTGTTCGAGTGCACTTATGATAACATTAAGGCACTTCAGAATGAAACTGATGGGCTACATGGTTCTCCTGCTTTCATAGACTCATCAGCGGAGGTATGCTTGTTCTACAGTGATTTTGGTATTTAAACCTCAAAGGTGGTTTTTCTTGTTTGTTTTACTTATGATTGCATGGAAATACTTGGTTTTTCTTTTGCTATCTTCGCCTTAAAACTGCACTCGCTCATGACCAAAAAACAAGGCCTATTTAGTTATTTTTTTTAGTTTTTAGCTTTATGTTCTACCATCTGTGGTCATTTAACTAACTATCAACCATGAGCTCTGGTGAGTTCTAAAATTGCTGTACAGTCATATTAATGCCTTATCATTTTTTATGACCATTAAATGGTATGGAATTTGTTTGTTATTGACCAGGGTTTAAGGAGGATAAAGTATAGGCCGGGCATCAGCCTTATGGGTGTCTCCAGAGAGACTAGTTTTCTGGAAGTTGGTCAGTTTTCTGGAAGTTCTGAGGAGCATAGAAATCTTCCCCAGTTTGCACTTTCTTTTGGTGCTGCATCTACATTCTTTATTAGTTTGCATCTTAAGCTACTTATGGAACGTAGTCTTGCTTGCATCAGCTTTCGCGATCGTGACTCCTTTAAGCAACCAGGAAGCTCTGGCAATTTGTTGTTGGATGACCGTTCTAGCAGAAAGAACTGTATGAACAACAATTCTCGAAGTAGTGTAGAAAAAAATCTGAAGGCTTCATTAAAGGATGTTGCTACTGGTGCTGAGTTAACAACTCTTGATCTTTCTGCTTGTGGTAATGTATGTCTGAAAAAGTCCTCACAGAAGTACAAAAATGGTGGTCAAATCATGGATGGAACTTCTGCTAATTCTCATGAACCTGAAGAAGTTGGATCCATAGCCATTGGTTCATTTTCGGAAGCAGCAATGTGACAATTCAGAGCAACTTGTTTTGCCCTCGAAGTCTCCAATTGATGGTGATAAGAAGAATGCAAGCTGTAGTTCTGTTTTGAATGGTATTACGGTTGAGATTCCTCCCTTTGATCAATATGGAAAGTATGGTGACAGTGAATTACCCAATACTCAACAGCCTACTGATTTGACTTGGAGTATGATTGGTGGTATTATCCCAAGTCCTAATCCTACTGCTCCTAGAAGTACATGGTATCGAAATAGAAGTAGTTCATCAATTGGTTATCATGCTCATGGTTGGTCAGATGGAAATGCTGATTTCTTCAACAGTAATTTTGGAAATGGACCTAAGAAGCCACGGACTCAGGTATCATACTCGATACCTGTTGGAAGTTTAGATTACAGCTCAAAAAATAAAGGCCAGCAGCAGAGAGCCCTTCCTCACAATCGAATTAGGAGGGCTAATGAGAAGAGATCATCTGATGTTTCTACAGGCTCCCAAAGGAACTTGAAGTTATTATCTTGTGATGCAAATGTATTAATTACTATTGGTGACAGAGGATGGCGAGTGTGTGGAGTGCAGGTTGTGCTAGAACTTTTTGATCATAATGAATGGAAGCTGGCTGTGAAAGAATCGGGGTCTACAAGGTACTCTTACAAGGCAAATCAGTTCTGGCAGCCTGGATCTACCAATCGTTTTACACATGCTATGATGTGGAAAGGGGGGAAAGATTGGATCTTGGAGTTCACAGACAGGAGTCAGTGGGCTCTTTTCAAGGAGATGCATGAAGAATGCTACAACCGTAATGTTCGTGCTGCTGCTGTGAAGAACATTCCTATTCCTGGGGTTCGCTTAATAGAGGAATATGATGAAAATGCAATGGAAGTGACATTTGTTCGCTGTTCTTCAAAGTACTTGCGCCAGGTTGAAAATGATGCTGAGATGGCTTTGGATCCATCCCGTGTTTTATATGACGTGGATAGTGATGACGAACAGTGGATTTCAGGAATTCGCAAATCTTCAGAAAGTGACATTGACAGTTCTTTGGAATTTTCTGATGAAATGTTTGAGAAGTTTATGGACATGTTTGAGAAGGCTGCATATACTGAACAGTGCACTCAGTTTACTTCTGAAGAAATACAAGAGCTCATGGCTGGAGTCGGCTCCCTGAAAGTAGTCACTGCAATCTATGGGCATTGGCAACAGAAGAGGCAGAGGGTTGGAATGTCTTTAATTCGTCATCTCCAGGTATTTTTCGAAAAACCTTCTTTTTCATTCATTTGTTTATTTTAGTCAATGCCATTTTTAGTTTTACTAGCAGGTTGAAATTGTCAACATCTTTTCGGTGCAAGGCCACCTGAACTACTTTGTTCTGCACAGATGTATTCAGATAGTGTTCATTTATTAATTTATTTAAATGTAATTTCTTCGCAAACACATGTACTTGCCATCAGGAACCTGGAAAGGACAAAACAGAAAATCTGGGTCACGTTATTCAGTTATTTAAGTAATGGTTGCATTTTAATGTGTTAAAACTAATAACAAATAGTTTTTTTAGTAGTTAGTACTTGTTCAAAGAGCATGACAAAAATATCATGAAGTTTCTGATTATTTTTATACATCTAAATGTCTAGGTCTATTGAATCTTAGCTAATTTTTACATAATATTTGCATTAATGGTCAAAAGTTATATAACAATTCAAGTTGAAATAGTGTGCTCTAAATTCATCTTCCTGAGCACAGCACGGGGACGAGGGATTGTATTTTGTAGGAGTTTGTATAAACCAATGAACACTTGCTATTGATATTTTGATCATTATTGTCAGATAATCTGGGGTAATTAGAAACTGAGGAACTTGAGGGAAACCAAGTGGTGGCCCAGCACTCTATCTTAATTTATGCAAAATTGAAAGATGAGAAAAATTTACTCATTTCGTTTCCATCTATTTTCTATCTTATTTTAGAGCCCGAAGAGTTCTCAACTTCATTTTTCAATGCTCTAATTTTACCCGACAATTTCACTATGTTACTGGGGTTGGTTTGTTGTTCATGTGTTTTATTTTTTCTCATGTATTTTATGATGTCCAACTTATTATAAAATTTTTGGTTTTCATTCAGCCGCCATTGTGGGAAAGGTACCAACAGCAAGTGAGAGAGTGGGAGCAAGAAATGTCTAAAGGTAATCCTAAATCCATTGAGAAGCCACACATGTTTGCTTTCTGTATGAAACCCAGGGGTTTGGAACTTCTGAATAAGGGGTCAAAGCATAGATCCCAGAGGAGAATTTCAGTTTCCGGTCAAAGCCAACATGCCTTGGGAGATCACGATGGTTGTCATTCCTTTGGTAAATGTTCTTTACACTTGCATTTTATCTTATTTAGATGTTGGTAACATGGGGTATTTCTCAATAGGCAGTGATAGGTTTGATAAGAATCACCTCCGGAAACTTCAAAGAACCAAGTCGAAGAAGTATGGCACTTTTCTGTCATCAAACGAAGCACAAATGGTGGATTCATACAATCAGAGGCTATTTGGCAATAGAAATGGAATCCATCGATGGAACAGGGATTTTCTTGACTGGCCAAGTCAGCGGCATTACTTGCCTGATGGTTTTCAAAGACAGGGCCCGGAACAGTGGGATAATTCTGATATTGATGAGTTCACGTTGCGTGATGCATCTAGTGCAGCCCAGCATGCACTAAAAATGGCCAATTTCAAGAGAGAAAAAGCCCAGAGATTGCTTTTCAGAGCAGATCTTGCAATTCACAAGGCTGTTGTTGCTCTCATGACTGCAGAGGCAATTAAAGAATCTTCCGAGGACTTAAATGGTGATGGGTAGAACAACCTGATGGAACAAGAGTGTTGACTGAATGAAATTAGCCAGCACCATTCAGTTCTGGAGCTGATGAAATACGTTAAGGATCGAACATTCTTTTCCCCAGAAACGGTGGCCTGGAGTTCACGTTGATTGATCAAGAGTAAAAGTGCCAACATGAAAGCTGTGAGTGGATGATAGTTTTTTGCTTCTGCTACACATATAGTTGCGGTTCTTATGTGCCAATCTTACAGCATTTCTTGCCTCTGTATTTTCTTTTCAATCCCGGCGCAGCTGTTGTTTTGATTCTTCCGGTAAGTGTAGGGAATTTTGGGAGGCGATATCTGTACAGAAGATTTCTTTTCTTTTTTTCGTTGATGACGTCTTAGTTTGCTCGTTTATTCCTATTCCTTCCTCTTAGCCTTGATATGTCGATATCAGAGTAGCAGGTTAGCTCAAATAATACAGCATCATCTCTTTTGCAATCAAATTGATGTTTACCGTGTGAATGAAATTTGGCGCATTTGATGGAGTTATATGTATAAAAACAAAGAGCCTAATCTGAAATGAGAAACACAAAATGCTGCAAGTATTATTATTATTATTATTATTATTATTATTATTAGTAGTAGTAGTAGTAGTAGTAGTAGTAGTAGTAGTAGTAGCAGCATATAAAATGTTCACAGATATTTTCAATAGAGGGTCAAAAAGAGTCATTTATTGGTTTATTTTAGAAGTGAACTGTGGGCTGTGTATTGATTTATTTTCCATTGTCAGTTTTGCTCTACTCTACAAGCATTCTTGTTTTGGTGAAGTTTGGGTTGAAAAATAAATAAATAAATTGATTGATAATGTTGAAGGATGGGTGCTTGTTAAACCTATATTTTGATATAATAAATATGGACAAAATGTTTTTGGATTAAATTAAATTTGCTTAAATGATTCAAAAATAATTCAAAGTTTAAATTAATTTGAAAAGTATATATTAGATGTTTTCTAATTTTTGTTAAACTTTTAAACATTGTTTTAAAACTCAAAACTCTTGAAATTTGTCAAAAAATCTAGCCAATATCAAGATCAATATTGCAGTCTCGAGATTGATATTCCATAAGGCTTTTCTGGTATCGGTATCATGGTGTTAGCATCAATATTGGAAGGTGAGCATCAATACTGGATGGTGAGTATCACGATTATAATTTTAAATGTTTTTCATGCTCGATCTCAATACTAATTTCTCGATATCAATACCAAAGTTGCAGGTGAGCATTTAATGCTCAAAATTAAAGGTTCTAATGACTCCAAAACATCCTCAATAGTTAAAAACGACTACAAATTCATTCCAACATATAAAAATAAGTTAAAACACCTATCCAAACAATCCATATCAATAGAAAAACTCTTTCAATCTTACTTTTCCTTTCTCTTGTACATAGAGTGTTTTTGTGAGCTTGATTTGTAAACACCAACCTTTTGGAGGTTTTCTTGTTTACATTTCTTCATTCTTTTGTAAAAATGGGTTCTATCTTAGTCATTGTAAAAGATAGATAATTTGTAAAGGTTACTCTTAAGCCTAGAAATTAGTGAAGTTGTTAGAAATCCTTAGTGATAAGCTAAGGTAGTGGATGTAGACTTCATTGAGAAAGTTGAATAACTATAAATCATTGAGCCAATTTTTCCTATCATTTATCCTTAATTCCCAAAAGTTTAAAAAGATCAATTCACCCCCTCTTGGAAACTATTTCGGTTGATCTCTTTGAGCCTCAAATCCCAACAATTGGTATCAAAGCGGGTCACAATCAATGGTTTAACCACATTGTGAAGATCCTATAAGAGTATCAATTTCCGACTCAACCGAGAAGATGAATTTTTCCTCCAACGCTTACCATATCGAAGATTTTCAACCGATTAACAAGTCACCCTATTTTAATGGAGCAAATTATGCATATTAGAATAATAGGATGTGCCATCCACATCCTATTTTGTGCATTAGGCTCGGATGAATATGAAAGAGTCTTCTCTTGTTTTAATGCCAAGGAAATTTGGACAAGCTCCAAGTCACTCATGAAGGAACCGATGAAGTGAGGGAAACTAAAATTGGTCTTGTCAATCATAGCTATGAAAATTTCAAGATAAATTCGGGCAAGACATCAAAGCTATCACAGATAGATTTTCTATGATTGTTAATGGTCTTAAGAGATATGGAGAGATCATCCCTAACGAGAAGCTCGTTAGAAAGATGATATATTCTCTTCCAAAGCCTTGGAGATCGAAGAAGACAACGATCATCGAAGTGAAGAACTTAAAGTCTCTATCCTGATGAACTTATTAGCTCCCTTCTCACTCATGAGATGATGAAAAAAGAGGAAGAACAAGAAGAAAAGAAAAGATAAAAAAAGAAAGAAAAATGTGTTGCCTTAAAATCCTATACCTAAAATGAAATCACCTCGAGTGAAGAAGGGGATGAAGAAGAAAAGATGGCCAAGCTTTTCAAAAGATTCTCTAAATTCATGTATTCCATAGGAAAAGAAGTGAAGCATGAATCGAGTAAAAGGAAGGGTCCCCTGGTGTGCTTTGAGTGCCAAAGAATGAGACATGTCAAATACGAATGTCCCCTCTTAAAGAAGAAGGGATCAAGCAAAAAGAATGCATTTGTGGCGGTTTGGAATGATGAAGAAGACTCCAATGATGAAGATGAATTTGCCAACCTATGTCTCATGACCATCGAAGAAGATTCAAGGGTAACTTTTAACTCTTGTGATTTAAATTCTTATTCTCTTAAAGAGTTACAAGAAGTCTCGAGACCAACATGGCAGTCTCGAGACCGATATTCCAAAAGGCATTTTTGGTATCGGTATCATGGTGTTAGCATCGATACTGGAAGGTGAGTATCGATACTCCTTCAAATAGTATCGATACTGAAGCCTCAGCGTCTATAATTTTGAATGTTTTTCATGTTCGGTCTCGATACCAACTTCCCTATATCGATACCAAAGTTATAGGTGAGCATTAAATGCTCAAAATTAAGGGTTCTAACGGCTTTAAAACATCCCAACGGTTAGAAATGGCTACAAACTCATTCCAACATATAAAAACAAGTTGAGGAAACTTAAAGAAGGTTACAACACCTATCCAAGCAATCCATATCAAGATAAAAACTCTTTCAATCTTATTTTTCCTTTTCTCTTGTACATAGAGTGTTTTTGTGAGCTTGAATTGTAAACATATACCTTTTGGAGGTTTTCTTATTTATATTTCTTCATACTTTTGTAAAAGGGGTTTTGGTTCTATCTTAGCCATCGTAAAAGATAGAGAATTTGTAAAAGTTATTTTGAGCCTAGAAAAAAGAAAGAACAAATTAGTGAATTTGTTAGAAATCCTTAGTGAGGAGATAAGATAGTGGATTTCTTGGCAACTATTCTGGTTGATTTCTTTGAGCCTCAAATCCCAACGGTGCTTTTTTTTTTGTATAAAAAAACATGATTATTAAAATGAAAATGTTTAAAATAATAATAAATGAAAACTTGTAAATGTTAGCATTATTTGTGGAAACGCAAATTTAAGAAAGCTATTTAGTTCAAAGGCTAGCTTTAATAAAGGAGTTTCACTCTTTCAGCGATTTTAATGTATTTTGTTTTATATCAAAATTCAAATAAAAATCTGTTAAATGTTTAAAGCTTAGATTTTGGGTGAGTATAATCACCATACGTAACTTGTAGTGTCTATTTTATTGTATATGTGTATTTTGGTGCCAGATATGATTATTAAAATTATTAGGTATTTGAAAATAAAAAATAGTTAAAGTTAGATCAATATAGAATAAGATATGCATAAAAGATAAAATTTAACATTATTTGATCCTATCTATCGCCACAGATAAAAGAAATAGTAATTTATTAGAAAATTCGATGCATTTTAAAATATTCTTCTAATATGACAATATCCCTACAAAATCTATATTTACAATATATATAAACCTCAGAAGTTACGTAGACTAAAAATATTGTTTCAAAATAGTTTTATCTCACAATTTTTAAGGTTAAGACTTATTCTATATTTGATAAATATTTGGTCACCATCTTAACTAAATAAATTTAATCACCAAATAATCTTCAATGAAAGAGAAATATAACAAAATTCAACTTTGTTTTTAATTAAAATTTTAACAATCTCATTGACATAAATTTCATTAAAGAATTGATGTTTGAATTTTCAACAACACCAATTTTTATTTAAAGCGTTGAAGATATAAAATTAAAAGAAAATAAAAATAAAACATAATTTGATAGAAAATAGAAAATGCATAAGTGTAGTTTGGTGAAGATAACGTTGTTAAAATTAAGATTCTTGAGCACCTAGGGGCTTAGGCTTTGAAATCCAGAACCCTACTTTCGAAATCAAGATCTTAGGTTTTTGTATAAAACCAGACATTAGATTTTGTAATTCATTGTTCACAATTTATAAAATTGTGTTTTTAGACCCTTTATATATGTTGAATTGATTTTTAATCCTTATATTTTATAATTTAGTCATTTAATTGCGTGTGTAGATGCTCGGTTTTGTCCGGGGCCAGGTCGCTAAACTCGACCCCAAATCAATTGAAAGCCCAACTCAAGTCCACGTGAATATTCCCTAGAAAACTAAAAACAGTTATCGGGTCAGTTCCTTTAATTGATTAGGAATAAACTGTAAAGGGAGGGTCGGTTTTGGATTGGCAAGACACGAACAGCACAAAGGACAGAAAACAAGGGGAAACAATTAACCACTAAAAACGGGGAAGATTATTAAAGAGATAGACACATAAAAAGTAAGGGGGGAATACACACAAGAAACAGAGAACAAAGATCAGATTTTTCTTTTTTTTTGTTTTTATTTACACACCAGAACTAATAGAAAACAGAAACATTGTAAACAACATTTCCATTTTCGAAAAGGCAAGCAGTGTAACAAGGATTTTTCCCTACTATTGTCGAAGCAATACAAGTTTATTGAGGTATTTTTTTTTTTCAATTTTTGCTTTCCAGTGCCTTTGTGTGTGTTTAAGGATGAAATATTAGTAAAGAAGAAAGGGTTTTGGGGTTGAGTTACCTGGGTTATAGGAAATCCGGTGGAGTTTAGTTGACTTCTTCTCGTCTCCGTTAGGATTCCATGGTCGTAAAAAATTGGGTTTAGTCTTAATGAGTCAAACGATTTCAAAATAAAATAGAAAATAGAGAAATCTATTTACCTCGTTATATTGGGTCTTCACCGGAGTAGGGAAGTAATTTAAGAGTCCCAGAAGCTTTGGGTGATCGGAGAAAGGGGCTATCGTTGAGCGGTGGCCAAGGAAGTTTTGAAGGCTAATAGGTATTGAGGGTCTCAATTAAGAGTAGTGAGAGAGAGATGTTCACAGTTGCGTGGAAGAAAGGGAGAGTGGAGAAGGATACTGGAAATGACTAGGTTCTTTAGTTTTAATAAAATAACTTAAGTTTTGTTTTTAAGTTAGGTTATATATTAATTATTTTGGGTTTTGTGTGAGGTTCCTGTAGGGTTAGTTCATTTGGGCTCTATATTAAATATTTAGGATAAAATTAGGTTTTAGTCTTCTTATTTTAGC